CTGGTTTCTCAATTGAGTGTGCATTTGATTTTTTGTAATTGCTGGGTGCAAGACTATCATCAACCTTACTCTTCAAAATCTTGGGTTTGGCGGCATGCAAGGCTATTCATTGGATCCACGTTCCGATCAAGGACCCCAAGAACAAGGGAAAAGTTATTTTCCAAAGGCAACCTATGCTATTTCCTCATGAGGTGCTGGCATATTGCTTTAATGAAGCTGGCTACACCTGTTCTGTGGAGGAACGGAGAGCGTACTGGGAGAGTGCTAAGGAAGCAGGTGAGTTGTGGGCTGTGAGCCACACAGGATCACACACGCTTCATCCTGTGGGGCTCTACGGAGATTCGGCTCGGTTGCCGACAAATTACAGGCAGGAAAAAATCACTGGAATATTCTTGAACCTTGTGCTCTTCAGACCACGCTCTGTTCGCTCCAGCAGATTCCTCCTGTGGTGTGGGGATACAAAACAGATCTTCCGCAATAGGACACTCAATCAGGTATTCCGCTACATCGTATGGAGCCTACAGTTTGCATATATTGGAATTCACCCAACACATACAATGGGGGGACAACCTTTGCAAACACCACTGGCAGGAAAGCCCCTGACTGATGGCTCTGACTGCTTTGCAGTCACTGAAAACAGAGGTGACTGGGAGTGGCACAAATTTACGTTCCGGTTCAATGCAAGCTGGGTCTCAAATGACATATGTTTCCGATGTCCTGCTACTGCAAACGGGCCAGTGGGTATGCGCTACTACACTTTTGATGAGCAGAGTTGTGACTGGTTACGTCAAGAGTTTGGCACCGCCCAATTCTGCGCACGAAGGTTACCAGACAAAAACATTTGCGACTTGATGCAATGACTATGTCGTATGCATCGTTTCTATTTGGGGTGGGTTCAGGGGTTGAGTTGTTGCCTTCATTAATCTTCCCTGTGCAGCTCATAGATTGGATCCAAGGTCCACTGATATTATTGGATGGTTGGCACCCTGGCATGATCAAAGTCTTCTCCATGCACACGCTGCAGTTGGGATTGCTATATGCCACAAACGGCGGGGCTTTGCGCCTAAGCTCCATTGGTTTGTTTCACCTCCTCCTGATGTCCCTTCCCACGCGATACACCAGCGCCACATGCCAGGGCACGTATAGAGGAAGTGAAGCACAAAGGTTCCCATTGCCATGCCATGATCTGAAACATACTATTCATGGATCTACTGTAGGTGGCTGATCCCTATGCCTATGCCCTTGGTCCACTGCTATAAGTATGATTACTATGTTTTTCCTTTGAAGGCACCAGTCTTTCCTGCTCGGATGCAGTGTGAGGATCCTGTTGGCTGAAGAACTTCACCATTTTGGATCTCATGGAGGCAACTTCCAAGAACAACTGGATGAAGCCTACAGATGCTTTCTATCCTACTGCATTCAAATGCGCATCAAACACAGTCAACCACCTTTTACGGCAAGACTGGTACCTTGGCAGTTTGGGGTCATGTCCAAACCAAAATTGTCATGTTTGGATGAACATGACTGTGGTCGAGAAACTAGTGAGTTTTATAAATTTGATCGAGGTGAAGAAGAAAGATGGTCACCGCTTGATGACCTGTAAAGCATACAATGGGCGGGTTGTGATGGAGTGGTTAGCCCATGAACTTCGAGCTGCCACTGACTCTGGTGTGCATGGAGACCATGATCGATTACAACTAGCCACTGTTTGTTTGAACCTTGACCTCATTCACGACTCACGACACAAACCTTTGTATTTCCATATCGCTGGTTAGTGGCCCTCATACATCACCTTAATTAATAGTCTGCCCAGGACTTCCATTGCGCGGGTGCAATTTCTCAGCGAATCCAATGGGAGAAGGTTGCGCCTTGACATCATGGTCACCAGTTTACTAGCTATTGATTGAATTGATAGTTCTTGCTCGCTTTGCACTAACTAGTTGTTCATTCAGGCCTTCATCCGTGGCCAGAGAGATGTGGAAGGAGGGCATGCTGTTCTTGAAGAGCTATACATGTCTACAAATCTTGTCAGTAAGGTGGGGTTGCTGTTGAACAAATTTAAAGCATGTACTGTCCTGCTTTATTTTTTGCAACCAATACGGACCGGCCCAGGGAATCCAAGCAGACTTTCCTCCTCCGTCCGAAGCTCCACGAACCTTGTTTGCAAGCTATAGTCGACATCTTGCAGTCAAATCTAGAAATCTTCTAGACGTTATGTTATTTGCAATTGTAAGTTTTGAACTTTGAGTCCACCATTGTTTGCCTGGCTGAGATGTTTGCCCATCTCATTTGGGATGCACTGGTGACTCGTGCCTTTGAATGATGCAGTGCTTTTAAATGCAGAACCATGTGAGCCTTGCATGATCAATCATACCATCATGCTGTATAGGGCTAAAGTTGATTGACCCAAGGTGCCAATTGGCGTTTTTGGCACACCTACATAGATGAGGACGCGATGGGCTGGCTGAAACGTTCCCCGGCTAAACTACTTTCCGTTGTTAGTGGGCTCAATGGACTTTTGGATCTTGGGTCGGATTCTGCTGTATTCCATTCTTACCTTGACTTCTAGTCTAGATCTGTTTTAGGAGTTGGGGGTGGCACGCACTGGAAGAATCGATCGCGATGGACATTGCGAATTGGGCGGCTACGATTGAAGAGCACTACATTTCGGATGAAAGAGTTGCCTGGTTTCAAGATCAAATCCTATAACTTGTGGGATGGCTGTTTGACTTGTTTGGTTTCAACTTAACTAGCTTAGAATGCTGGAACTTGGGAGATGGTTGTTTGAATTGTATTCATGAAGCATCTTAGGCTTCTGGCGTCTTCGCGACAACGTGGTTGATGGCCACACGTGGGAAAAAGACGTCAGTGCATACATGTGCCAAGAACCATATCCCCAAAAAGGTGATTATGATAATGTCTGTTGTGATAACCGCCTTTAATAGAAAGGCTGTTAGACTTGTAGGGTATATATATGGAGGGGTATTTATTTTTGGATTTTTTTTGTTTCTTTTTTGGATTTTTTTTGTTTTTCGTGGCTTCTGGCTTCTGGCTTCTGTGGCTTCTGGCTTTTGTGGCTTTTGGCTTCTGTGGCTTCTGGCTTTTGTGGCTTTTGGCTTTCGTGGCTTTCGTGGCTTCTGTGGCTTTTGGCTTTTGTGGCTTTTGGCTTTTTGGCCTATCCATCTATCTGTCTATACCTATCTATTTATCTATCTAACTTTCTTTCTTTCTTTCTTTTGGCAGCTGTTCTCCTTTCTCTTTTTGTATTTGCTTTTCCTGTTGTTTTCGTTGCAGAGACGAAACCAAACAAGGAAGCAAGCAAGCAAGCAAACAAGCAAGCACGAGCTGCTCACCTTTGGATCTGGTGTGCTGCTGGGGGATCTGCACTTCATCCCCGACACCCGCGCCTGCCACGAAATCAATATTTTAAGGTGAACTCCCCGGTGCAAAACTTTCTAACCAAGCAAATATGCCTCCTCTATCTATCTATCTATCTATCTATCCTATCTTATCTTATCTTATCTAATCTAATCTAATCTAATCTATCTATCAATCTATCTTTCTATCTTTCTATCTTTCTGCAGTTCAACATCCACAAAGTACTGCACCTGCCACGAAATCTGCACTTCAAGGTCCACAAAGTCTTGCGCCTGCCACGAAATCTGCACTCCAAGGCCCACAAAGTCCTGCACCTGCCACCAACTCTACACTTCCACACCGACAAAGTCCTGCATCTGCCACGAAATCTGCACTTCAAGGTCCACAAAGTCCTGCGCCTGCCACAAAATCTGCATTCCAAGGACCACAAAGTACTACAGCTGCCACGAAATCTGCACTTCAAGGCCCACAAAAAAGTCCTGCGCCTGCCACAAACTCTGCACTCCAAGGCCCACAAAGTCCTGCACCTGCCACGAAATGTGCTTTGCAAGGTCCACAAAGTACTGCACCTGCCACGAAACACGAAAAACAAAAAAAAACAGAAATATATTTGCAACCCTATATATATATATTCCCTAGGGATCCAAGTACCTTCTCAGAAGGTGTTTGGGGTGGGTTTGGAGGGTCCAGGTGCCTTCTGAGAAGGTACTTGGATCCCTAGGTAGGGATGGTAGTTGATCAAAAGGTCTTCATAAGGCCTAGGTTCATTGAGAGCCTGTTCGCGAAAGTTTCTGTCGAATTTGCAAAAGCAAGTATTTTTTTGGAGAGATTGCTAGATGAAAACAGACAAGCCAAAGAGAACTCCCCCTGCGAAAGTTAAACAGGGGATGACGACGCCGCAAATATTGCCCTTTTTAGTGTCCGATTATATACTTTGACACGTTGAAGGACGTCATGTTTGGCAAAATGGTGTCCTTCAAAGTGCAGAGTGCCCACTCGCAACAGCTTGCAAATCAGATACTTGGGTGGCTTTGCTGGCAGGTATATGGTAGGATTGCCAGCAGGTATATGGTGGGTCAACCAACATGCTTTGGCAAATCATATTCTACATGTCGGATCTTGGCGGTTTTGATGCCTTTCCCGGCTTGACCAAACGAAGCTGGAGGTTGTTTGCAAGACAGACATACTCTTGCTACCTCTTGCTTCTATATATTTAGTTCACCAGGCAAGCGGGAATTGCTGCTGAAATTTCAGCAGAAATTCCCGCTTGGCTGGTGTTTAAATGTCGTCGTAAATAACATGTTCTCAGACCATTTTCTCGGTTGCATTCCTGTACTTTGAAGGTGGGTCAGCTTTTGGAGAACACATGTATTGTATATTCTTGCCTCACCTGTGCGCCCGTTATGCGGCCCGGAACTTCCAGAGCACGGCCAGGACTTGGTGGGGCAAGTAAGGGCTTTGTGGGCACTGAATGGTGAGCCTATGCGGCCCTCATCCTCAATTCTAAAGTGTAGGCCCTTTGGATTGTAGTGATGAGGGCGCTAGCTCTCTTGCATGGTGAGACCTGACCTGGGTCTCAGGTGTAAGACTCACCATCCACCCGCGGACCAACCCTCGGTCAGGTGGCCGTGCAGTGCATCTCGTGCATCGTTTGCCTCAATGACAATGCCACCTTGCGCTGGGAGCGCTTGGCCACCGACGAAGGCCCACAAGACGCACCAAAAGGGCAGGACAGAAACTGCACGAAATTGGCAGAAGGGGCAAGCAGGAATCGAGTCTAGAAAACATATTCCAAGTTGTTCTTGTGTTTTTTTCCAGGTCCCAGTGGTAAGATGTGACTGTGGGAAGCGTTGGCATTGTCTTCAAAGCATTCGTGCACTTATAACCTCAACTCCACATCCTCAGAAAGTAGTTAGACCCTCCTGGCACCCACCACAACCACATCCAACCGCTGAAGCGAAACGGAGGTTGGCCAGAAGCCCTATAGGGTGTGTATAGTGGTGTGTAATATATATATATATATTATATATACACCACCTTCGGATGACATGGGATTTACAAAACATACATGGGAATTCACACATTCCCAAGTCAATTGCCATATCCCCTTTGTGTCCGGAGTGTATGAATCCAATGTCATCAGGCAAAAACAAAAAGATAATGCGAAGCATCACCAGATTGCCCGTGCAACCCAATACAAGGCTGTTCTTTCAACTGTGCCACAAGTCCTATCTCATCCTGCTCTACCTATGGTCATCTTATAACGGTGAGGTGCCAACACCTTTGTTCCGACATGACATAAGACTTACCCTACTATATTCTACACCTTAACTCCTACGTGATTTGTTCCCAGTATGTATATACATATGCTCCCTACGACGAATGCTTGCCGACCCCGGAGGTGTCAAGAGCTGGGCTACTCGGTGAAGTTACGTGGCACCGTTTTGGTCGAAGACGTGGATTTTTTTGTATACTACTAGTAAGGCACAGTAAGGCACTTGTTACTACTAGTAAGGCACTTGTTACTACTAGTAAGGCACTTGTTACTACTAGCGTGGCACTTGTTACTAGTAACAAGAAGCTAACGTCATGGGTGTGTGGTATGATGTGGTTTTATATGATGAATGATGTGTGGAAGTGCAGTTATGCCGATGCCGACGTTGGCTGAAAGGGTATTGATTGCCATGCGATCGATCCCCTTCCGGTCCTGGGTTGAACGACGGCCGCTTGGGAACCATCAGGTGGAGTTCGGCCTGAGCAACACTGCCTCGGTGACGCGCTTGAAGCTCCAGGCGTGGGGGCCAACTAATAGAGTGCATGGAGGTCCAAGAGCGAAAATAGATCGGTATATATTTGCTTTCAATTGGCCGACTGAGAATCTGGTTCAAGAGCTCAACAGAGGAGAATCACTTTCAAATCTTTATTACTTCGTAGATCCCATTTGTGCCCAGTGCAGGTTACGGTGCAAGCGACGCCAAGGGTCCCTTGGGGTGGCTTCATCGCGATCGCCTGTGGAGTTGAGCTTCAAAAAAGAGTTGACCAGATATACATCAAACATGCATCATGTTCATATATGCTACATATATTACAAAGTCATATATGTAAGATCTAAACTTAAGAATAATCATAGTCGGTTGATGTCAGTTGACATTATATGTTTTTGTGTTTTGAGTTGTTCTCTATTTGTCCTTTGACCCCTCTCACTCACACAGCACACTGTGACTGACCAAATGAAATCCGGACAGCAACCAATTTAACCTCAAGCATTGCGTCCAGGGTAGTTCAGGGTAGTTCTTGGCACAGTATCACCTGAGCACGGACGTTTTTTGAGCCCAGTAAGCTCTCAATCACCCTGAGTTTGTGTCCTGCCGGGGAAGCACAGTTTGTTTGTGGAAGTTGTGTCTCATATGGCCATTTCCCCATGAGTCTTTTCTTGGATCTGGTTTGATCCCCACGTTGGCACTCCGAGGCTTGCTTTGAGCTGCTGAAAGATGCCAGCAGGAGGCGCGGCCCGGTGTTGGACCCTCCAGGACGCCTCAAATGGACGCACACCCAACCCGTGGAAAGTGAATAGCGGCCTGGGAAGGCCATATTCTCTAGCGAAATGGGATAGCAAACCCCCCTGTTGACAACAGCACGTGGGTGTTGTTTTTCTCCGACCTTGGGGACGTCTCCGCCGGCGTCTCCGAGAGGCCGGAGTTCGACTTGGGATGCTTGGAGGTTTCTGAAATGGAGAGCTGCGGGGAGAACGCCGACCTTGTTTCTTGGCGGATTTGGCAGATCGATCGACGTGAGTTGACGAGTTGCCCTGTTAGATGGACTGGGGCACATGAAAAGTCAAGGGCCAGAATGAAGCAGTGTCAGGTTTGGGTGCGTTACTTACCTCACACTTCAATCAAATGCAGGTATGGCCTTCCTGGATCTAGTGATGCAGCATGACCACTGACAATGGGCCATGGCGGACTAGTTTCTCAGGGCCGTGCAAGAGGACGTGCATTCGGTTTTTTTTCTGCAGGGAGATACGTTACGGTATTGAGTATGGAGATACGGTACCATGCAATACCCTGAAGCACTCAACCAATACAAACATGATACCCCCCCAACTGACTAATTAACATGGAAGTGGATGGCACCACCTGTTGCTAAAGGAAACGTCGTGTTCCAAGGGCCCGCCGGCTTGTTGAGGTACGCATGGTTTACTCAAGCCAAGATGCCAAGAAGGAAGAGCTGCTGGTCCTTCGCGCCCATCAGGACATGGAACTTGGTGATGGCACACCAAGCGTCAGCCGTTTGCATCGTACATTTCAGGGCGGTTCTTTCGGGTTCTTGGTCCATTGGTCGGAAGGGAGGACATTAAATGAATTTGAACATGATGGAAAACGGGGCTACCCCCTTCCCAGCTCACCTTTTCTATGTGATTGGTTTCAAAACACACTCTGACATTGGTTTTCAGTTAACTCAATTGCCACGTTGGGAAGGAAGGTGAAGAACGGTAAGGTGAAGAGTCCGCAAAACTTGTAGATGTTTGAACAAAATGGTTTGAAGTCTGCAGAAAGCACGAAAACGAAACGCTCACGAAAACGTGCGGCTCGGTTGCAAGAACGCGGTGGGAAGGTTTAGGGGGAGTATCATGAAGAACCATGAAAACAAACAAGGTCAATTGGACAGCTTGTTCAACCGTTAAAGCAGGTACACATCCATGGCCAGTGGATGCTTCCCTCTCTGATGCCTAGCTTCGTTGGACAGAGTAGCATCGGAGAGCTCTGTCCCCCTGCTTTAAATTAGACCCTTGGAAACAGGGTTTGACACACACACACATGTTATCCCATACGCACCGAATGAAGATCCATCAGCGCACGTTGATTCACCATTTGCACCGGATGGTCCTCCTTCACTGATGTAAAAAAACATCAAAAAACACCGCAGTTGCACTTCCAAAAGGACAGCAAAAGAGGGGCAGATGTACCAATCACAATCAATCAAGCCATGTAACATCATATACAATTATACATAAATAAAATATAATGTACCAGTAACTGGCTCTGTGCTTGTTGTCTAGTTCCGTCCATCCATCCTTGGCTCCACTCCCCAGGAGGACGAGGAGCACAACGTCTTCATCGTTTGTAGTCGCAGCGTGCGCTGCGACTTGCGGCCTCCGAAGGAGGGCATGTACCGAGGAGAAGTGCTGCCCTCCGGTGCCCGGGACTGGTGACTGGATGTGGTTCATAGCTTTCTGAGTTGCCCGGAACTCACCCACCAGTGGGTGAAAACCTCCAGACATGGTCGTGCATTCTGTTCATTATTTTGTGGTCAAGCCAGGTAGCCCGATTTTGACCCACACCCATGTTGGGGACCAGGCACCGACAAACATGGCCCCATGGACCAATAAGAAAACAAGGAAGATCAAATCAAGTCGAAAAAAACATCAAAAAACATCATTAATCTAAACATAAGATCACCAGTTTTTTTTGACACGCGAAGTGCGATTCTAGTGATTCCAGTCGTTAGTTCAGGCATAAGGTGCTTCTTCCTTTGGGGGGCCAACTCCTCAAAGCTGGTCCTCGACCTTTGTTTTTTGTTCGGTGTATGTCGGCACGTTTGCTTGCATCACCCTTTCTTCTCGGCGAAAGCGGAAAAAGAACGTCGCAACCTGAGGCTACCTGGTGACTGCTGTGCCTGACACCAATGGCAAGTGCAGTGAGATCACCTTCCTGGGGCAGTTTAGCCGCTCGCCATCGCTCAGAATCGGCCAGGTCTGAGGCGATTTTTGTTTGTGCAGTCCGAGCTAAAGTAAACACAGCTGTCATGCACCTTGCCCCTGGTTACTCCATCAATCCTGGAAAATGTCAGTTGTCCCGTGTACATTGCTGATCTCAATATATTATTGATTCTATCACCAAAATCATCTAATGACATCCAAATGCATTGCTCCGATGTGTTCTTGGCTGTCCTCTCCTGCAGCTATACTATACCCTGTTGACGAGGTGCCCTCAAGAAATTTGTTTCTGCGTTTTTTTGATATTCACCCAGTCATGAATGAGCCGATGAGCAAGTCAGCAAGGGTTTTCAGTTGCAACTATGATGAGGTCAATCTCTCTTCGAGAAGATTCAGCCTCATGCAGCTTGGTAACCAGCGTGGTCCAGCGTGTGGGATGCTTGTTGAGCTTGATTGCTTGTGAATTAGGGCCATGAGGGGCTCGCCTGGACTTAGGGGCCAGAGAGGTGATGCTGATACCTTCATCAGGTTCCTCAAATGGACCACACACGCCGCACCTCGAACGTTAAAGCACACTGCACACACTGGTGATGCTTATATAATCATAATCCTATATATAAGTCTTGTAAGCGTTATATAGCGTTATGACCAGTGTGACTTACTTCCTTTATCATTTCATTCAAGGCATGTGGGAGACCAATCACAGGGATACTATTCACCAGTTTTCCACCCTATAAGCCAACATAGAAGAAGATTAAATCTAATTGGAAATCATAGGATTGCATAGAATTGCATAGAAAAAAATTGAAAAACATAGACACAGAAGCAGCACAAGCAGCAGCACTATGAGCCTCTTTTATCAAGTCTTTCTGGTGTACACTGTCTTCTCTGGGAGGTTCTGAATCACTGGCCTCAACCTCTCAATGAAGGAATCTGGAACCATACCAGGGTCCTGTCCAACACTTCCAGCTGGCTGCACCTCTGGTATGTCAGTGGCCAGGGACCATTTGGTCCACCCCCACTCATGACACTGTTTGAGCTTCTCAATCCAATCTGCAGGATTGCTGTGGTCAAATGACCTGGAGAAGCTATACTGTGCATGTGGACCAATCCAGTGGGCACTTATGCCAACCTTCCTTTGAAAGGACACTGTGAAGCGATGATCTTTGTGGTTCAACACAAATTTGAATCCAGGCCCCTCTAGCTCAGAAAGCAACGCTGGAGTTGCATGTAGCTTTGGGCCACTTGATCTGACTGTAGCTTCCTGAGTGGCTGTGTCAAAGCACAACACAACTCTCAGTCAACAAAGAAGTAGTTACAAACACATTCAGAGACATTCAAACCATACCCACACACCCAAACCCAAAAACTTCACTGAAACAAAAGAAACATTGAAAGCAAGCACACCCAGGCACAGCAGGTGCCAATGCTCTTCCTGCTTCTGCTGCTGCCTTTGCTGCAGGTGCTTCTGAAGGTGTGGGTTCAGCTTCTGCTTTTTCTGCTGGGCTGGTGCCTTCTGGCAAAGGAATCAAAGACTCAGGTGCACCTGATGTGGCTTTTTGGCTGGCATCTGGCACAGGAATCACAGACTCAGGTGCACCTGATGTGGCTTTTGGGCTGGCATCTGGCAAAGGAGCAAAAGACTCAGCAACAGGTGCACTTGGCCCAGGCCCCTTTGAACTGGATGATTGGCCTCCTGGGTTACCCTCTAGCAAAGCATCAAAAGACTCAGCATCAACAGGCCCCTTTGAACTTGATGATGGGCCTCCTGGGTTGTCATCCTTTGGTAAAGAACTGGCAGGTGGGGTCTCAACCTCAACAGGCAAGGAGGGTTTCCCCTTTTTGGTGGGTGGCTGCTTTGGCTCTGACTCCTGGTGCTTCTCCAAGAATCTCTTCTGTGTGGAAAACTTTCCTCTACCCTTACCTTTACCCTTGCCCCTGCCTCCTTTGCCTTTTCCTTTACCCCTGCCCCTGCCCCTGCCTTTGCCCCTTGGGGCTACCAAAAGGGTCCCTGGCCCCTGAGCTTTTTTCTTCTTCAATCTACTCTTCTCAGCTTTCAAGTCAGGGTCACCCCTGTTTTCTGCATCTGCTTCATCCAATGCATCTAACAGCTCCTGGTACCCTTCATCTTCCTCTTCCTTCTCTTCCTCTTCTGGTTGATAGGCATTGGATTTGTCAAAAAAATCTTTTCTTTGCTGCTCTCCCTGAATGAAGATTTCAATCAAGGCAGTGTAAGCATTTGCCCTTGACCTTTTAGGTGCAACTCCATGCAAGGCAAGTACCATGTTTACCTGCGCAATTGTGAGGGCCAAGCCCTCCTGAAGCCTCGCCATAATCAGCTTTCTGGCTGGTGCATTCTGCCTGAATACAAGGGGTCCAAACATGTCTTTGCACTG